GAGGGAAGGACAGAGAGGAGGGGACAGAAGGGGGAGGGGAGGGCAGACCTGGGACTGGGAGGAAGCCCAGTCACAGTACCCCACCCTCAAGGGCCGGAAAGGAAACGCCAGGCCAGAGCATGGGGCAGACAAAGGCCCAGCCTCCCAGCCCGGCCCTCCCCGACCCTCCAGGGCCAGGTTTTCCCGGGGGGCGCAGGGGGCTGGGGCCCAGCTTGTCCCCCCAGTCCTGCTGGCTCTCCTGTGCTTGGGGTGCCCACAGCTAAGGGTGTGTCGGGGGCGGGGATCCAGGGGGCAGGGGAGTGGGTGTGGAGGGCAGAGGGGTTCCCAGCGCGGCGGGGAGTGGGTCCAGGCGCACAGCACCGGGACAGGTCAGAGATGGGGGTCTGGGGTCTCAGACCCAGGAAGCAGGCCATGGGCGCTGAGGGGACCGGCACTTGCCCCAAGACACCGGCAGGGGGCGCTCCCGGGCTGCCTGCCGGGCTCCCCGGCCACTGGGCTCCTGTGGCTGCTGGAGATAACCCAGCCCCTCGGCCTCCCCCTCCCTCACCCCTCCCGGCTCAGAGCAGGGCCCACTCTAGTCTGCACAGTCCCTCTTGGCCCAGCCTGTGGGCGTGTCTGTGTACATGGTGTGACCGCATGAATGCACGTGTGCACACATGGTGCCTGATCTCACGTGTGCGTACAAGTGCTGCTCTGCACATGGGATGGGGAAATGGGTGACTCCCGAGGGCCGCCCTCCCGGGGCTGAGTGTCTGTTCTGTGGACACTGCTCTGCCTCAGGGCCAGCCTGTGTGTGTGTGTGCATGCGTGTCTCAGAGGCTCTGGTCTACCCAATCATGTAGTAGATTGGGGGGGGGGGGTGAGCATGCATATCTCAGACGCTCTGATCTACCCGTGTGTGTGTGTGTGTGTGCGCGCAGGTGTGTGTGTCTGTGTGTGTGTGCATGCGTGTCTCAGAGGCTCTGATCTGCCTGTGTGTGTGTGCATGTGTGTTTCAGAGGCTCTGATCTGCCTGTTGTGTGTGTGTGTGTGTGTGTGTGTGTGTGTGTGTGCATGTCCCTCAGAGGCTCTGACTCTGCCCATGTGTGTTTTTGTGCATGGTCTCTCAAAGGCACTGGTCTGCCAGTGCGTGTGTGTGTGTGTATGTGTGTGTGTTCATGCGTATCTCAGAGGCTCTGGTCTACCAATGTGCGCAGGTATCTGTGTGTGCCTGCGTGTCTCATAGGCTCTGGTCTACCCATGCATGTGTGTGTGTGTGTGGGTGTGAGCATGCATGTCTCAGGGGCTCTGATCTACCCTTGTGTGTGTGCACGCACAGGTGTGTGTGTGTGTGTGTGCATGCGTGTCTTCAGAGGCTCTGATCTGCCTGTGTGTGTGCATGTGTGTTTCAGAGGCTCTGATCTGCCTGTTGTGTGTGTGTGTGTGTGTGTGTGCATGTCCCTCAGAGGCTCTGACTCTGCCCATGTGTGTTCTTGTGCATGGTCTCTCAAAGGCACTGGTCTGCCAGTGCATGTGTGTGTGTGTGTGTGTGTGTGTGTATGTGTGTGTGTGTTCATGCGTATCTCAGAGACTCTGGTCTACCCATGCATGTGTGTGTGGGTGGGTGTGTGAGCATGCATGTCTCAGGGGCTCTGATCTACCCGTGTGTGTGTGCACGCACAGGTGTGTGTGTGTGTGTGCATGCGTGTCTCAGAGGCTCTGATCTGCCTGTGTGTGTGTGCATGTGTGTTTCAGAGGCTCTGGTCTGTCTGTTGTGTGTGTATGTGTGTGTATGTGCATGTCCCTCAGAGGCTCTGACTCTGCCCATGTGTGTTCTTGTGCATGTTCTCTCAAAGGCACGGGTCTGCCAGGGCATGTGTGTGTGTGTGTGTGTGTACATCTCAGAGGCTGCCTGTGTGCATGTCTCTCCGCAAAGCTCTGGTTTTCCTGTGTGTGCATCTGTGTGTGTGTGTGTGTGTGTGTGTGTGTGTGTGCCTCTCTCAGTGGCTCTGGTCTCCACTGCGTGCATCTGGGTGGGTGTGCGTGAGCCTCGGGCCCCCGGGCCCCCTCTGCTGCAGTCCATGCCGCCCCCGCTGCTCTGGGAATCCCATGGTGGATTCCCAGCACCCCTCACCCGGCATTTCTTATTTGGTGGGTGGTTCTGGGGCCCTGTGGTCCTCTGGACAAGGGGGCCTGAGAGGGAGGGGCACACTGTGTGCACCCTGGGAGGCTGGTGCGTGCATGAGCACTGGGCACTGAGTGTGTGCGCCCTGGAGAGTGTCCACAGGAACAAACCTAGGCCCCCGTGGTGTCTGAGTCAGGACCCAGGGGGCCTGCAGAGAGGCACTTGGGCGGCCGGGCTGTAGGGCAGGAGGGGCAGGAAGGAGTGAGGGCAGGCGCCACCCGGAGCTGACTCTGCGTGTGTGGATGCGTGCGCTGTGCATATATAAATGAGTGTGCATGCGTGTGTGTGCGTGTATGCATGCATGAATGTGTGCATGCGTGCGTGCATTTGTATGTGAGTGTGTGTGTCTGTGTGTCTGCGTGTGTGTGTGTGTGTGTGTGTGTGTGTGTGGTGGCCTCTGCTGGCCTCTCTGGGCCACGGCTCCATCCAGCCCCGCCCGCCTGCCGGCCAGCAGAACTCAATCAGCAGCTGCATGAATACACTTGAATGGAAAGTTGTGCTCAGCTGACCGGAGAAATCGGAGCCGGCCAGTGCGCTCCCCCTCCGCTCCCTCCTGCGGCCCTGCCTGCGCCCCAGGGCTAAAGGGGGCTGAGGCTCCAGGAGGACCCAGACTGCTGTGTGTGTGTGGGAGGGGCAGTGGGTGGCAGGAGGCCAGAGCCCAGCCCAGAGCCTGGCTGGGTGCTGCCCGGCAGAAGCAGCAGAGGTGCCTGGAAGGGGCCCTGCCAGCCGCGGGTCCAGCACACAAAGCCCGAGTCAGGAGGGTCCTCCGGGGGACCGGAGGCAGGCCTGGACTGCACCCCCACAGGAGAGGGCCAAGCCACTAAGCTGTGCCCAGAGGCCCCTCCCGGCCTCCCTTTGGGCCCCAGACACCACAGCAAGAATCCACCACAGGCAATGGGGTCCTGGGGATGAGACTGGGGTTGAGAGGGACTGACAGGCCCGGCCAGGGGGCCGAGGGGAGCAGACAGGCCATGGCCCCTCCAGCCCGGATAGCAGGAGGGCCCTTCTGCTTGAAAGGCCTTCAACCTCCAGAGTGGCCAGGTGTGGGGGCTCAGGGGACAGGGAGAGCAGCAGTGTCCACGGAGGGCACCCAGCCTCATGCCTCCCCGCTGCCTGACCACTGCCCACCTACCAAGCTTGGAGGCCCCCAGCGGAGAGGGACCCAGGGCCTGCTCGCTCTGAGATGGCCCTTATTGCTAACATCCCGGGGCAGGCACAGGATCCAGCTGCCCGGCCAGGTCGTGGGACACCCCTGTCCATGCCCCCTAAGGCCAGAAACCCCCAGATGCCCGTGCTCGGCCAGCACCGGACATGAGTCCATGCCGCCTGCAGAGCAGGCAGAGGGGAGCTTAACACAGGGTCCACAGCCCAGCGCTGGCACGGGCCTGGCCTGGACCCTGCTCTGTGGGGAGGCGCGCGTCCCCCACATCTGGCCCCCGTAGGCTGTCTGTCGGAGCAGAGCTGGGGAGGCCCCACGTCCCCACCAGGGGGGTCACTGTGACCAGCTTGGGGCTCTGTCCTCCCTGAGGGCGCACCCGGGGTCAGGCTGCCGCGGAACTGGCCTGAGGCAACCCTTGTGCTCCCACCACACGGCCCCAGGACACAACCCCCCCCCAAACCTCTGGCCCAACCTGCCTCTGGCTCCCCCAGAGTGCTGTCCCCGACAGGGACAAAAAGAAATCAGAAATCGGAAGTCAAAATTAGTTTGGAACGGGGCGCGAAATTCCAGGCACGTTTCGCCCTAATCCCTGCTTTGGAAATTGCCCTTTCAAGTGAGGGCAAGTTTTCTGGAATTACCGCCCTGGCTCCTCCTCGCCGCAGCCGCCCTGGCCCTGAGCGGCGGAGGCGCCGGTGGCCGCGCCGACTCGAGCACCGCAGGGCCGCACCGACCAGTGCACAGGGCGGGGCTCGGGGTTTCGTTTTAGTGTCAACCAGTTCTGCCAGGCCTCCGGTGCAGGACCTCCAGTGGGTGCCCCAAGGCAGGAAGGAAACAGGGAACAACCCGGAGTCTCGAGGTCCGAGGTCCGTCCCCATTGCATTCCAGTCTCTAAACTCCCCAAGCTCCCCCGCTCACCCCCACCCCAGTGGACCCACCCTTCCCCCACCACCATCCAAATAGGACCCAGCCTACAGCTTCTGGTTGCCTTGGGGAGGGGGGGCGGCGTTTGGCAAAGCCGCCCTGAAACCGCCCTGCACTACCCCCAAAGAGCCAAGAATGGCCAAAGTTCCTAGCACACACACAAATAAATTAATTAATTAAAAAAAAAAAAAACCAAGTGACTGGGTTTGCCAATAGTCTCCCCCGCTGCAGGGATCCTCCTCAGGAGGAAGCTGGGTTGTCCCCTCCCCCTCAGTCTATGTGGCTTTTGCTGGGGATTTGGCTTCAGCTCTGGTCCTACCAGCTGGCCCCCAACGTGGCCCCCCAACAGGCCACACCCAGTCCTGAGTACCCAGGTGTGAGGCCAGGCCGCAGGGCCGCACCCTGGACTGCCGCTCTGGGAGGGACAAAAACACCAGTCTGTGGAGTGATAAGAAAATGGAGAATACTGTATTTGCTTTAGAAAGTTTTTACATATAGATAAACACGCAGTTAAGATAACAGTGAAAGCCCCTGTGAGAGTGAGCGGTCTCGCCAAAGCAGCTAAGAAGTACGGAAATTGCTTTTGCATAAGAATCCTAAGGGCTCACTCTCTGCTTTCGCAAGGACAGGTCCCTCTTCCTAACCCGCCACCGCACCAGACCCTCCTGGGCGGCCAAGCGGGTGGGGGGTGCCCAGAGGAAAGGTGAGGTGAGTCGGGATGGAGGAGAAGGGGGGAGAGAGGAGAAAGAGAGGGGGAAAAGCAATATCATATACAGGCAATTTCTACACATATATTACAAACTGGGAAAATGACCGATCATTAAGATATACATAATTCATATAAAATTTTGAAATAAAAATAAAAATCTGTTACAGTCATAACTATTCTTTTTCCACATTTATAACCAGTACCCACACAGGCAGTGACAGAGTGGAGAGAAAAAGGTGCTTACGAAGAAAATGATTGTCTGCTGAACAAAAAACAGGATTGCATCTTGTCTGACCGATACTTAGACTTCAAAACAGAGGAGGAAAGAGAGCGCGCCAGGGCAACAAAGGCGCGGGCCTCGGCCGTTTCCTCTCCAGTTCTTTTTTTTTCTTTTTCCCAAAAACAAATTCAAGAACGGAGATGGCAGTTTCATTTTTTTCTCTTTTTGTCTGTTTAGCTTTTGTTGTCTCATTGTGGTTCTTTTTTGTTGTTGCTGTTGTTGTTACAGTAGACTCTTTCGGGTCGTTTTAAACTAGAGAGAATATTTTCCCAGATACAAATAAATCATCATGCAGGTGGGGTGCCGGTCCGAGGGGACCGGAGGAGAAGCTTGTCCCAGAGAGTGTACAATTGTCACCGTGTGTGTGTGTCGGCCGCTTGGTCCTGCATGCGGCGTCCGGGCGTTTGGGGTGACGTGGTGGCAGACGGCAGCTGGGGCTGTTCATGGGCTGAGCTCGACTTATTTCTCCTGCGTTTTAGGTTTTGCTGGGGTGGGAGTGTGTGCTTGCGTGCGTGTGCGATGGTGTGTCCTGATTCCGGCTGGTTCTGGGGACCGAGGAGGCCGCGGAGGGCAGGGAGGGGAGGGAGGGCGCGAAGGGCCGGCCTGGGCCATCATACATCACACTCCGAGTCGCTGGACGTTACCGACAGGATGGAGGTGCCGGTGTCCGCGCGCTCCGTCAGGCTGGACACGCTGGTGGTGGGGCTGGCTGCCGTGGAGGGCGACTCTGCAGGGCCGTGTGTGGGGCAGCCCGGCTCGGCCAGCGAGCGCATGCCGCTCGGCCCGATGGCCTGGTGCTGGAGCCTGCGGAGACAGAGAGCAGCGCCCTGACACGGCGCAGCCGCGGCTCGGCGCGCCCTCGCGCTCTCGCTCTCGCCCGCCGCTCCCGGCTGCCGCGGAGGCTCGGGGCCGCCCTGCGCGGGGGCGCCCCTCGCCGCGTCCTCGGGGCTTCCCGGGGCAGGGCCGGCCCCAGCAGAGACCGGGACGTCGGCCTGCGGCCCGGGGAGGCCTAGGCGCCCGCCGCGCAGCCCCGAAGGCGCCGAAGCCGCGGCGGGACGAAGACGACCCTTCTCCCTCCCCAGCCTCTCGGACCCGCACAGCCAGCCCAGGGGCCTCCGGGCCCCGCGCCCGAGCACGCCCGCCCTGACGGCGCTCCCAGCGCGTGCAGAGGGTCCCCGCCGAGCTCCGTGCAACCCGCGCGCAGCGCAGGACCGGGGATGCGAGCGCGGCGCGGCGCGCCGCGGCGGCGGGGCGCTGGCAAGAAGGCAGCGGCGCCCTGAGCCGCTGGTCCCCGCCAGCTGCAGCCTGGAGCCGAGCGGGGCGCTCCCCCATCCGGCGAAAAGTGGGCTCCCCGGCCAAGAGGAGGGAGCCCGGGCTGGCCTGGCCTGCCGCAGCCCAGAGCCACGCAGCCTGCAGACCCGCGGTCGCTAGCAGCACTGCCCGGGCGGGCCCTGCGGCTCTCAGACCTGACGGCGGCCTCCCTGCGCCCTCGCTGCTCCCCTCTGTTCGGAGCTGGCCCTCAATTCTCCCCTGCCCCGAGCCAAAGACCGCCAGTCCCAGGGCAACTGGGCGGCGTGGGGTCGGCCTGCTCCTGCCCACTCTTCGACTTAGCGGACAGAGGCGCCCGGCCCGGCAGGGGCTGCAGGGCAGGCGCACAGGCACACGCGCGCACAGGCACACACGCACCAGGCCTCTCCACCCCGAAGCGGTCAGGGGACTCGTGGGTCTGCGGCAGGATGGGCGCTCGGCCATCCGCCTTTGTGCCTGGGGACCCGCTGGCTCTGCCCGACGCTTGGCGAGCGTGGAAGCGAGCAGCCCGCGGCGTCCGTGGACGTGGCAGTGGGCCCCGGAGCGCCCGACCCCGCAGACTCGTCCCCCGCGCCCCGCGCCCCGCGCCCGCCACTGACCTGTTCTTGGCCGCCGCGGCGCGGTCGCGCTGTCTCCGGTTCTTGAACCAGTTGCCGACCTGCGTGGGGGTGAGGCCGGTGGCCTGCGCCAGTTCGCGTTTCTTGCTGGGGTTGGGGTAGGGGTCCTGCAGGTACCACTCCCGCAGCAGGCTGCGAGTCCGCTCCTTGAAGCAGTGCGTCTTCTGCTCGCCGTCCCAGATGGTGCGCGGCAGCGGGAACTTCTTCCGCACGCGGTACTTGTCCACGGGGCCGAGCGGGCGGCCGCGCAGTTTCTCGGCCTCCTGGTAGTGCGCCTCCAGCCACATGGCCTGCAGCTTGCCGTGCGACTCCTTGGTGAACTTGTGGTTCTCCAGGATGTGGTAGAGGTCGCGGAAGTTGCCCGTGTGGAAGGCCACCACGGCGCGCGCGCGCAGGATGGACTCGTGCTTATTGATGGCCTCGCACGCCCCGGGCGCCACGGGCAGCGACCAGAGGAAGCGGCCCAGCCGCTCGATGTCGCCCGTCTCCTCCAGCGTCTCGCAGACGCTGGCCACCTGCTCCGGCGAGAAGTTGAGGGTGGGCAGCTGGAACATGGACGGGTCTTCCGGGGGCGCCCTGGAGCCGCCGCCGCCGCCGCTCGCCAGAAGTGGGGCGCGGTGGTGAGACTCCGCCAAGTTGGACAACAAGAAGTGGGAGGAACAGAGGTCTAGGGGGGAGCGGAAAACCATGGGCTGACCTGGAGGAGAGGAGAGAGTCAGCGAGCGGCCGCGCGCGGGGAGGCGGCGCGGGCGCGGGGCGCCGCGGGCCGGGGGGAGCGCGCGCGGCGGGGGGCGGAGCGGGGGAGGCGGGGGCGGCGGGCGGCGGCGGAGGGGGAGGAGGAAGGGCGCCGGGGACACCCGCACCCCGCGCTCAGCCCCGCGCACACACCCCCGCGCGGCCGCATAGAGGGAGGAAGCGGCGCGCGCGCAGCGAGCCGAGCCGGGCCGAGCCGCGCGGGCTGCGCCGAGCAGGATTCAGCGACTCCGCCGCGATCGCCCCAATGACAACAGCCTCATAATATCTCCCCTAAATCCACAGTGAGTGCGGCATTGAAACATTTTGTTTCGCTTTTCTATTGGTCTGCGGCGTGTCGTTGTGGCGTCGCCATGGCAACCGCTGCCAATCACTGTCAGCGCTGCCAATCAATACCGAGAACGTAAGGACGGTTTTACCACTTAGCCCGGGTGGGGGGGAGGGGAGAGGAGGGCGCGAGCGCCGGGGGGAGAGAGAGATTTTTTTTTTTTAAATCTTTGCAACTCTTAATCTCTGCACTTCCCCTGCTCGCCCCCGGCTCCCCCCGCCCGCCGCCCGTCGCCGACTCTCCGCCAGCCTCCAGCCTCCGTCCTGCCGGGTCCCCAAAGTTCTGCGGGAAATCCAAAATGCAGTTGTGGAATGATGCGCCGGGCAAGGGGGGGCGGGGCGGGGGCCGAGGCGCCCACCCCAGGACCCGGGGAGGGCAGTCCCGTGCCCCCTGGGAGCACGAGGGCGGGGTGGGGTCCTGGTCGGGGCGGCGCCCCGAGCGCCCAGCCCGGGGCCTCACCCTCGCCCCACGCCCCGCTGGGCCCGAGCCCGTACCCGCGTTTACGAACAGCCGCACCGGCTCTCCGGCCTGGACGCCGCCCTGCGGGGCGCCCCCTGACCCCCGCGGGCTCCCCCACCCCGACCCCCAGCCGACCCGGAGCCCGGAGCCCGGAGCCCCCCGCGGCTGCAGAGCCCCACTCGCCGCCCTGCGGGGCGCCGGACTTCGGAGGCTGCCCGCGAAGCAGATAGGCCTGAAAACGGCTCGTCTGTCGAGCGAAAGCCCCGCACTTTCTCCGGGATGGCAACGCCACCCCCTCAGCCGACCCAGAGGCCCTGGCGAAGCCTGGGGCTGACTCCACGGTGGGCGCCGGCGGGCAGGGCCCGGAGCTCGCGGCCCCTTTGTGGGGTTCCGCGGCCCGCCGGCGCGACTGGACACCGCGGCGGGTCACGGCCGCGCTGCCCCAGTTCTGTGCGCCTTTAGCTGCGGCTCCGTTCGGTGCTAAAAGTGTGTGTTTTTAAAGGGTTCGCACACAGTCGCCAACAGTGCCCGCATTGTAGGCCCGCGTACGACGCATATGGAAACGCGGCGTCCAGACTTCAACTTAATCTGCGCTCAATAAAGCTGACATAATTACCCTAAGCTGCCTTTCCAGAAGAAAAATCATTGAGGAATTCAAAACTTTTTTCAAAAAGATCCTTTCCACATTCCGATGCAGATCTGGGGGCTCGGCGCGGAGGGCGCAGCGCGCGGGCGGGCGGTGCGGGAGGGAGGAGCGAGTGCGGCGGCGCCCCCGGCAGCCCCCGGCCCCGCCAGCCCGCTCCGCGCCCAGCAGCGCGCCCCTGGCCGCGCGCCCCGCGTCGTCCTCAGGGAAGTCCGCGCCGGGGACGGGGCCGGCACGCGGGTCGCGGGCGGGAGGCGGGCGAGGGGCGGCCGCGCGGGCCGGGGCCTGGCCGAGCTGGGCGGCCGCGCTCGGGGACGCGAGTCGGACCTGGGTCCTTTCTTCGCGGCCCTTTCTCCGGAGGGCGGATTAGGGCCCCGGCGGGCGGGCGGGGCAGGGAGGAAGCGGGCGGGGGAGCGGAGGGGCGGGAGTGGGCATTGTGCGCGTGTGGGGGAGAATTCCTACGGGTGGGTTCCGAATATTGTGCTCAACTTTCTTGAAAGCAGCTCGTGACCCCGAAACTGCATCCCCTGGAGCCGAGGACCCCGGCGCCGGGCGGGCGGGCGGGCGAACCCCGCCGTCCCGTCCCCGCCCCGCGCCCCCGCCCGGGCTGGGGCCGCCTCCCCCCGGCGCCCGCCGGGCCGCGGGGCGCGGGGCAGGTGCCGCGGGCTCGAGCCGAGCCGGGAAACCCAACACCCCGCCCGGCGCCGGCACCGAGGCCGCGGGGCCCGGACTGGCTCGGCGACACGCCCGCGCGCTCCCCGGCTCCCGGGCGGCCGCGCTGCGGGGCGCGTGCGGGTGGGGGTGCGGCGGACCCCCGCCGAACCCCGTGCCCGGCCGCCGCGGTGAGTTCGGGCGGGGAGCGGGAGGGGCCGCGTGGCTGGGGGGCTCCACCAGGTGGAGCTGGAAGCGCGGACTCCGCGGGGCTGGGGCTGGGGGCGCCAGCGGCGCCAGGAGGGGAGGCAGGGCGCGCCCGAATCGCAGCGTGCCCCGCTCCGGGCGCAGGGCGGTGCGGAGGCCCGTGGGAGCGCAGAGCGTGGCGTCCCGCGTCCCTGGCAGGCCTCTCCGGGCAGCAGGAGTGCCGCGGAGCTGGTCCCCGGGTCCTGGGAGAGCCTGCGCCCCGCGGGCACATTGGGAGGGCAGGCCGCTGGCCGACTCGGTGTCCCCCGCGCCCGGCTGCCCGGCTCCTGGCGACCGTCCTCAGCGACTCAGGCCCAGGTCTGAGGGTCGCCAGTCCCGGAGTGGGAGTAAGGGGCCGCGCGCGCGCGCTGGGTCACCGGTGTCAGCCTCAACCCAGCAGGCTCCCGGCCGGGGAGAGCTTGCCGGAGACCCCCACCCTCTCCTGGTCCGGGTTACCGAGAAGCCAGGGGCGCTGCGGGTGTCGGGAGCGGAGGACCGGGGCGTGGGTGCAGTGTCCACTCCAACTGGCTCAGTCTGGCCGCTGGGCCCTAGGGGGCACCTGCCAGCCGCTGCCCCAGACTGGGAGGCCTCCCCGCGCGCGCCGCTGCCCTGGGGGAGCGGGGCTCGCAGGCGGGGAGGCCGGGGAGCCCTTCAAGGACCGCATTACCTTCCTCTGAATGAACAACAACAACTGCTCCCTCGCGCCCAGCCCCGCCCCGCCGGACCCGCGCACGGCGCCCAGCGATTGTCCGCCCGGACAGTAAACACAGCTCAGTTGCCTCAACTTTCTCCGCACATAAAAGTTCCCGGCGTGCGGGGAAATTTGAATATTTGATCAGCCCCTTTGAGTGACCCTCATTAGCCTGGCGCCCTGCTAAGGCCCAGGCACTGCCGAAAGCGCTGGGACGGGCATTTGTAAGCCTTGTTAGCGCCGCTTAATGAAGCGCCCGACCGCTCAAAGGCCGCCTCCGGGCCACCGCACCTCTCAGCACCCCCAGGCCTAATGAGCGCCAGGGAAGGTCCCTCCGCAGGTTCCTTCGCCCCCCACATCCTCAAACCAGGCAAGCTGGTCTTGAGCCTCCAGGATGCCCACTGCAGGCCTCGACAAGTGGACCTAGCAGGCCAGCCAGTGTGGCCTGGAGCACGTCGGAGAGACCCGTGCCTCTCGGGTCAGTCGCCCAAGCTCCCGGCAGGCACCGGGACAGACTGCTGCTGGGACAGAGGGACGGACGATGGCCAGGTCAGCTTCTACCCTCTTGCTACCTGAGTTGCTCTGGTCCCTGTGGAGGCTGCCCAGGGGCTAGCGGGGACCCTCTGCAACAGCCGAAACCAGTGCGTCAGGTCCTGGGCTGAGGGTGTCAAGCCTTCAGTCAGGGCTTGGGGAAAGGCTGACGCCTCAGGTCCCACGCAGGTGCAGTGCCAGCTAGCGACGGCAAAATCACTGCACAGCCCCGAACTGGGCTCTCCAAAGTCTGCAGGCGCAGACATCATGGTCTAGAGGAAGTGCAGGCAGACGCCACCCCGCCCAGGCCTGGGGCAAGGGTGCTGCCTAGGCACAGACCCCAGCCACCGGCTGTCCCCTCCCTCCCGGGCAACTTCCTCCTGCCAGGCCCACTCCAACCTGTGGTACAGCCGCTCCTGGGCTCTTGGGGTTCCCAACCTCTTAGGGTGGCCACTTGGGAGGGCCTCACAGAGGACTTGCTTCGTGGGGTCAGCCCTCCCCCATCGAATTGGGGGCCTCTAGGGATACCCACAACCCCCCAGGGGCAAAGGTACGGTGGGCCTGGCCAGCTGGTACTCGGGCTCTGGTGCTCAGCTTCTCATACACGGCCCCCTGCCCTCACCCCTGCCCTCAGCCAGGTGGGCCCACCAGGTAGGCCAGACCGGCTTGCTCGCCAGGGACTCTGCTCTCCGCCTCTCCCTAGTTGCCCACTCGCCCCGCCCCACTTCCCACCCGACCCTACCCGTGGAGTACGCGCTCAAACTTGGAGAACGACCCTCTCCGCGGGCAAAGGCGGGGCTTTGACCCTGGGGCAGAGGTAGGAGACCGAAGCCAGGAAGGTGACGCCGGCCGGCGACCGAATCGCAGCCCTGGGGCCCGACCCGGAGCGGCAGCTGCTCCCGGGAGGGGGCGAGGGGCGGGGGGCGAGGGGTTCGCAGGCGGCGGGTCAGGGCCGCGGGGCCTCTGGCACGGGTGGGGGGCTCGGTGCAGAAAGGGGGGGAGGCGGGGGTTGGGGGCGCGGGGCGGAGGGGATGCGGGTCTTTAAGAGACGCGGGCTGGCCAGGCGCTGCTGGCGCACTGACCCCGAAGGGGATTTAGCGGGAAGGGAGCGACCGGCTCCGGGGGCTTTGTCGGGGGGATCGGGAGGCCGCGGCACAAGAATGCGGCGCGCGCGGGCCCTGAAAGGCGCGCGGAGGCGGCGGCGCGGCCGCTCTTGACTTCTGCGCGCCGGGAGTCAGGCTGAGCCGGCGCGCGCCGCGGCCTGGGCCCGGGCGGCGGGAGGGCGCGGGAGGCCCCGCTGAGGTCCGAGGCGCGGCCCGAGCGGCCTGTGGGCGCCCGGCGGGGTCGCGGAGGAAAGCACCTTTCCCGGCATCACTACTGGGTCTGTGGCCAGCACGCGCAGCGCCCGAGCGCCGACCCCAAACGGACTCTCAACAGGTGGCCAGGTAAGTGCCTCCAAGACTCCGGTCGCCGGGCCAGCTCCGCCCCGTCGCTCGGGCCCTGGCTCCTCCCGCGTCCCGGCGGCACGGAACCCGGACCGCGCGCTGCCCTGGGGTCCCGCCCGCCGTGCCCGCCCCCTCCGTCCCCAGCACCGCGAAGCGCCGCCCAGTCCTGGGTTCTGGGCACCTTCGCGCCGTGGCGGCCTGGGCGCGGCTGCCCTGGAGTGCGCCCGCACCTCCCGAGCGCAGCGGGCAGCCGCGCGGGACCGGCCGACGGCCTTTGTGTAGGGTTTCCCCGCAGGAGCGCGGGGCTCCCCTCGCGGGCAGGACGTCCCGGGGCCCGCGCCGCGTACAAAGGCTCGTGCGGCGCACGGCCCGCGGGTGGACACGGGAGGGGCGAGGTGAGCGCACGGCTGGAAGCCCGGGGTGTCCGGTGCGAAGTCGGGAAATGCCCTTGCAGCGCCCCGCAGTCGCGCGCGCACGCGCCGGTCGGCGCAGGTGGCCTGCGGCGTTCCCAGCCGGTGCCCAGGCCCTCCCTGGCCGCACTGCGCCCCCTCCGTCGCTGCCCGGTTCTTCCGCCCGACCTGGGACCCCGGGGCCGCGGGCGTGGTGTGGCGGGGGTGGGTCGCGACGCCTGCGCCGGAGGGTCTTACCTGTGCCCAGGTGAGGGCGGCGGGGCGCAGCGATCAGCGGCGGGTAAATATTCATCGGGCGGCGGGAGCGCCTCCTTCCCGGCGGCGCCGCGCGCTCTGCGCTCGCTCCGCGCACTCCGCGGCCTCCCTCCGCCGCTCCCCCGCCCTCCTGCCCGCGCGGCGGCCGCCGCGTCCCCCTAACCTGTCGGGCGCCCAGCCCCGGCCGTGCCTCCACTGCTGTCTGCCGCGCGCCGGGGCGCCGTGCCCGTCCGCTCCCTCCTCCCGCCCAGCCCTCGCCCCCTCCGGAATCCTACATCATTAGCGTGATTTTCCGGGGGGTCACGCACCCCCTCCTCAGCTCGGCGACAAGCCGGCGCTCTCCAAGGTAGCCCGACTCCATCCCCCACCCCTTCCCTCTCCACCCATCCGGCACCGGCCCGCCCTCCCGCCGGGGCCAGCCGGGGCCACCCCGCACTCCTCGTGGCGTGGGCGACTCGCTGGCCCCTGTCCATGGGCGTTTCTAGACTGGCCCGGAGCCGACCCGGGCCTGTGGGGCGCCCGTCGTCTCGGATCTCGGGCTTGCCCGTCGGGCCCGGGAGGCCACTCCACTCGGAGGCTCTGAGACCGCCGACGGCTGAGCCAAAAGCGGCGAGAAAACGCACCTGCCAGGGCGCGGGGACGCTCGAGCCCCGCGGTCCCCGAGAGCCGCGGCCGCGCCCGGCACTGCGGCCCCGCCGCACCAGGGCCCCTCCAGGCCCGCAGACCCCGGCTCGGGCCTCCCTTCCGGGCCGCTTCTTGCTCGCCGGCCCTGGGCCACGCCGGGCTGGGGAGCCCGCGGCGCTCTAGCAGCCGCGGGGTCGGCGCCCCTGTGGGGCGGGAGGAGGGGCTAGGGGCGGGCCTGGGGTTCCCGGTTACAAATACTGCCGAGGCTGGGGCCTGGGCTAGTCCTGAACTCGTAGACCTCTCCTGGAGGGACCCACCGTCCACGGGATCTAAGCAGACAGGGTCCTTAGGGAGACATCCGAGCCCCGAGAATGGCCTGGAGGAGGTTCCCCCACCCCCGACGTGGAGCCGTCCAGGGCCGGTCCCAGCCTCCCAGGCACCTCCTCCTTCTGGAAGGTTAAGGAACTGGAGGGGGGATGCACTGCGGACCGCCCCCCCCCCAACCCATCACCCCCTCACCAGCCTCACCTGCCAGAGCTTGTCACCTGAGAGGAGAGGAAAGGAGGGGACCGTGAGGGGTGTGAGTGCTGGGGGCCAGGGAGGCGGCCAGGGAGGCAGGCTTCTCAGGAACCCGAACAGAGCAGGACAGCACAGGCCCCGTCACGGCGGACCAGAGTGCCGGGCCGGGACGGTATCGGATGCCATCACAGACTCTCCAGGTTTGCAGCTGGACCCAGAGCGGTTCAGGTTGTGCGTCAGAGCATCCGAACGCTTCCTGCTCCCACCTCAACCAGCTTTCTCTCCACTGGGTGCCCCTGGCTCCAGTACATCTCCAGGATTTGGAGGACCTGTCCCTGATGTCCTGCAGGCCTTAGTCTTATCCTGAAAATTGAGAGAACTTCAGCCTCTCGCCCCATTCCATTCCAATCCCCTTCCCACCAGATGACTCTCCCGAGGAGTGATTACAAACATCAGGTTTATTGGGCCAACATTCTCTGGGAAATTCAGAAAACTCAGAGCAGACAGTTTCCTGTCTGTCTGCTGGGGAGGCTGGGGTCTGAGGGGACAACTGGGAAAAAGGTGTGCTCCCTGTCCCCTCTCTGTGCTCCCTCTCTGCCAAGAACGTTCTGGGCAGAGTCAGTGCTGACCCCTGTCCACACCACAGGGTGACTTTGGGAGGGTCCTTTCACCTAGAACAAAGGGGAGAAGGAGGCTTTCCGACTGATGACCACTGTGCACAGGCCAAGGAGCGGGACGGCCAGGCAGACGGAGCTGTTCTAGAGACAGGCGTGAGGGCCATAAGGAAGGACACACTATTCTCTGTCCACCCCCAAGACCCCACCGTGCCCAAGGTGCTTGATCACAGACATTTAGCAAGTCTGTTCTTGTGGGTGTTTTGAACAATAACGAGGGTACACAGATTCCCATCGCCTTCCTCTTCCTCAGGCCGGAAGTTTCTCCCAGGGCCTCTCTCCTCCGCAGCCTTGCTTTTCCTTGTTTCCCAGTAAAAGTCCAACTGGGATGCACGTCGGAAGGAGTGGATCCTGGGCTTCAGCCGGGACGTGCCTGCAAACAGAGGCAGCCCCTGGACCTGGGCGGTTTTCCTGGCTCCTTCGCGGGCAGACACAGTGACCGCCCTGCAGACTTGTAGATTCCACCCTTACATTTTCTTGCTTCAAGATCAATGAACTCCGATTTTTTAAAAGGGCGTGCACCGCCGTCTCAGCACATCAGTCAAGCAGAAAAGCCGCGTTCTGGCCGCTGAGCACCCCCTGCCCTGTGGACGGTCACTGGAGCGAGTTTATTTTTCTGTTTCCTAAAAGCCCTGTCACGCCCGCCTCAGCCTGGGGCCGCAGGCAGAGCTGCGGAGGTCTCCGACCCCAGGAACCGCCGCTGGTGGCGAGGGGCTTTGTTGTCAGGAATTCTGAGCGATTGTCTGAGTTTTCTTTCCTCCTCCCTTTTACTTGTTCTTGTTGTATTTGGTCTCAGATAAGCCGAGCCCACTGCCAGGGCTTTCCTGCCGCCCGGACGGGGGGCTGCGGGCTGGACTCGCCAGGGTCTGTCCGGTCGCGCTGGGAAAGCGGGGGTCTGCGGGTGGGGGAGGGCCGTTCCTCCAATTTTCCTGAGTCACTATCCGCAGACGGGCCGCTAATCCCTTCCCGAGCGTCGACCGGCGCCGCCAGACCCCCGCGCCAGGGCCGGAGCCCCCAGACCGCTCCGACGGCGCAGCCCATACATTTTTAACTGCAGTCATTACTAAATTAATAGCAGGCACTAAGACAGATGTCAAAACGTCTTGAAAATGTTTATCTGTGAATAATTGAGAAGGTGGTGGGGCGCATTATCTGATTGTGTAATGAAATATGTATGAGGAACAGCTGTTTGCAGCGGTCCCTCCCGCAGCCAACCCAGCCGGGCCGAGCAAGCGGGAGCCCCGGCGCAGGGGCAGACCACTGGCCAGCGCCCGGGCACCTGCTCGAGTCCCCAGGGTGGCCGGCGGGGCCAGGCCCGGCGCGCCCCACGCCACCCGTTTGGAGCGGCTGCCCGCGCCGCACCCTCGGCCTCGGACGCGAGTCCCCGCCGGCGCCTTCGGGGAGGCCGGGCCGCCGTGTGGCCTGCTCGGAGCCGGGGTCACCGCGGGGTGACGGGGCCACCGCGAGGGCTTTGTCGCCGCTGCCCGGAGGCCCCTTCCCCAGCCCCGCCCGCGCGGCCTGCCGCTTCCCGCAGCCCCGCGCTCCGGCCGTCCGGGCCCCACGGGAAGGGGCGCCCGGCGCGCGCGGCCAAGGCCAAGTCCGGCCGCGCGCGGGGGCCCGGAGGACGCCGCGGGGGCGCGGCCTCCTGGGCCTGCCCGCGCGCGCCGGCCCTCGTGGGGCCCCGGCCCGTCCACTCCGCGCGCGCCATCCTGCGCGCCGGCCGCCGCCTCGGGCCACGCCGGGCTGGCGCCGTGTCTCGGCCGCTGACCCGCCTGGCGCGGCCGGTCCCGGGCGCAGCGACCCGCTCCCGCGCTCCGGACCTGTTGCGGGCGGAGCCGCCGCGCGGGCCGCGGAGTGTCCCCGTCTGTGAAGTCGCAGGGGCGGGCCGGGACGGCGGGACGGCCCCAGGTCGCTCCCCTCTCGGGCCCGCAGCGGCCGGCGAGCAGGACAGCGCGCGCCCGAAAGCAAAATTAAGCATGATTGCTTTTATTTATCTATTGCCTTTATATCATTAAAATATTTTTAGTTACATTGCATTAAACAGCATCCACTCTGATTATTACCTGCCACATCTGTTCATCAGCTTCTGGTAGTCGGCACGACAATGTTAACGATTAAGAAAAAGGCACATCTTATATATTCTGTCAAGATATGTTACCATTTCTATTAACGACAACAACAACAAGAAAAGCCAGGATTCTGTGGAAGAAGCGATGAAGCCTATCGTTCACGACCACTTTATTAATAATCATAGTTGTCAAAAAATTAGGTATGCATAGATTGTGGATGCAAAGAAGATATTAGATGCATAGAATAAACAGTGGGATGGAGGCAGAACTGCAGCTTTTTAAAATAAAATTTTAGCGAGGTAAAAAAAAACTGAGCTATTACGCTTACTTAAAAGATGGCTTTGTTGGTTTAATTATACTGTAGTTATTTTATAAATATGTTTCAAAGGAAGCATGCCATATTGCATGTCAATGAGGGCTGTAAGCACGACTCACAAAAGCTAATGCATACCAAATACCAAATTTTAGTCATTAGCATTCCTATTTATTACAAACTAAAGGAACCTATTAACAGAGAAGAATTTCTATTTAGCTAGCATTACAATGTTTGTCCATTAAACTAAAAAGGGCAAAGTATATACGTATTTTTTTCCCTTGGAGCTATATATTCTCTCTGCCTGGAAACTCGGGGAATGCTGGGGAGATGTGTCAGGTCAGAAGCACCATCCCGGGCTGGGAACGGGTCCGAGGGCCCAGCCCTTGGACTGCACTCCGGTACTTAAGGCTCTGGGTTAGGAGACCCAAGCCGCTCTCTCGGCTGGTCAAGAGCTCAGGGGACTCACTCCTGCCAGGGGCCAGGTCTGAGCAGATGCAGATGATTAAATGTTTCCTCTGGGGGAAAGAGTTCTTGTGACAGTAACATTTTTTGTTTGGACGTTTTCAAGTGCTTGACTGCCCCAGGCTGCGTCTTCTCCCAGGCTGATTCCCGATTCCCCGATGGGGCGGAGGTGCCTGGCCGAGCCGGAAGCTGTGGAAGGGAGGAGACTGGGGCCAGGCGGACTGGGGGGCACCCGGCACATCTGCCCCAGCCTGCGGTGGGAACATCACTGCTGTTTCCCAGGGAGAGCTCCCATCTTTCTTACGTTTCAAAACTTTTCCTCCTTAAAACTGGAGGCCGAGTTTTCTCCCTCCCTGACTGTGCAGGCCAAAAGCAAAAAGAAAAAAAGAAGAAAAAGAGGAACCAAAATGAAATATTTGAAACAAGGACGGGTTATTTTGGATTATGTTAAATAGGATTATTTTGTGTATGGGTGGGAAAATAAAATACTAGTTATCGGCTTCTTAAACTTGGTGTATCTACCCAGCTGCTCAGCCCCACTTCTCTGCACTGGGTCTAAGTATTCTGCTGACTTTGA